CCCTGGTCCATGGACTCCTCACTGTGTGCCAGATAGGCGCAGGGTGTCTGGTGCTCATGAGATGACCAGGCCAGGGACTCATGTGGCCGCACACAGTTTTGTTGGTTTGGAGCTGAATCTTGCAAAAGCACAAGATGCAGCTGGGGATTTAGCTCAGCATAAGGGCCTGCTGGCAAGTGCAAAGGCATGAGTTCGATCCCCAGTTTAAAAAAAAAAAAAAGCACAAGATGTAGTGTGGTGCCCTTCCCTTGTGACAATATGCACTTACAAATGTCTACATCAGAGAACAATATTCTCACCTCCACTATGTGAGAAATATGCTGAAAACAGATCCTCCATGTTACCAACCCCGAAATCTAAGCACTGGCTTACAAGTAGAGACAGCCACGATTTTGTGGGTGTTACAAAAAAATCAAGCAGGTGTTCAAAAACCAGCTGGAGGCCTGGTGTAGTGGCACGTGCCCACAATAGCAGCACTTTGAGAGCCTGACAGGAGGATGACAAGTCTGGGCAACTTAGTGACTTACTGAGACCGTCTCAAAATTCAAAAAAGGCTGGGCACAGTGGCACGCCCCTCTAATCCCAGGGAGACTGAGGCAGAACACTGCTATGAGTTGGAGGCCGGCCTGAACTACATAGCAAGACCCTGTTCCACACAACAGAAACAAAACAAATTTTTTAAAGGGCGGAGGATGTAGCTCAGTGCAAAGGTCCTGGGTTCAGTCCCCAGTATTGCAAAAAACATTGAACAGCTGGAGCGGCCTTTTTCTTGTAGACCATGTTTCTTCTGAAAGTAAGACAGCCCAGCAACTAAGGAAAACCACAAACTCTCTCCACTTCACCTCCAGGTGACACTGATGGCCACAAGGAGGGTGGCACAATACTGCTGGCCCTGCCCTCGCTCTGTCTAACCAAGGCAAAGCCTGCATGCCAAGACAAGGTCCGACATCCAAGTCCAACCCCTGGTTTCAACCCCCTGCAGCTGCCCCAGCTCTGGCCTCGGGGCAGCCCTCATCTTTCGCCTGACCTCCAGCTGCTCTGTACTCTGCGCCCTCACCCCGCTCAGGCCTCCCTTGGCCACGGGTGTGGGATCTGGTCCTTCATGCTGGGCTCCCTGACTGTGTAAGACTGGGTAAGAGATGCCAATCTGTCACCACATCCAGCACTACGCAGTGGTCTCCCTCTCATGTGGTCCCTTGGCATGGGCCAGGTGTTTGGATAAGCACCAAACAAGGAGTGCGGTCAGTGGGCCTTGCCCTGAGGCCTGATCCTCATCCAAACCCGCATACTTCCTATCTGGTTTGGACAGGGCCCAGCACCGGCCCAGGCCTGCGGCTGCTTGGCACTTGCCCTCTAGGCCTCGCAGGGAGCAGAGGCGTGGGTGTGGGACCCCACTCCTGGAGCCTAAGGGGCCACCCGGATGCCTCTCTCTAGTGTTGTAGTTTAGAAGCTCGTTAGAGCAGGCGGCTGCCTATTCCCTGGGTCTGACTTGGCAGGATAATTCAGACTCAATACTCTTTTCTATTGACTCAAATCAGTTTTATTCTATGGGCTTTTATTTTCTATTTAAACTTTTGCCAAAAAAAAAAAAAAAAAGCATTACAAAAAAAGCAAAAATACAAAAGTTGCGCATGTTTTCAAAAATCACTAGAAAATACAAAAAAAGTAGAAAAATTTACTCATCTTTTTACTACCCGAACACAACCATGGTTGGCGCCCTGTTTTGTTTCCTTCTGGTCTTTTTCCATTCATTAGTTCTCCTACTGGAGTATGCCTGCTCCCAGCCCCTCCAGAGTATGGTTGCTGGCACACTGTATTAATAATTTTTTCCTTGTATTTTAGATAATGATTGCCTCTTAAATCTTAAAAAGGAACTTTTTACCACATATGCAGGAGCTACGAAAACAAAATACAATGCGTGTGACTTTTCTTTTGTCCCAATTTGGGCAAATCGACTGGCAACAACTGGAGAACTTTATTACAGACTGGGTTTTGGTTGGCATTTGGGCACTAATATTCATTGTTAGGAGGGCTCAAGGCACTGTGTTACAGGAGAAAATGTCCAGATTCTTTAGTCATGAATTAAAACATCTATGTGTGAAGTGCCATGTCTTGGTTTGTTTTAAAATATTTTAGCAAGGAAAAATCTTGACAGATGTTGAATCTGGTAGCGGAAGATGGTAAGTTCATTGTGCTATTTTATTTACTTTTTTTTGTTTTTGTTGGGCTTTTTTTGTTTTTTGGTACCAGGGATCGAACTCACAACCTCACACTTGCCAGGCAGATGCTTATTCTACTGAGCTAAATCCCCAGCCCTATTTTATTTACTTTTACATAGGTCTAAAAATTTTCAACATAAAAATAAAAAGGCTTAAAAAATTAAAAATAAAAAGGTTAAAGTATACAGTTTTAAAAGCTTTTTGTGAAAGCTCCTCTCCCTTCTTTCTCACTCCCGTAGGGTAACCACTTTTATCTCTTTTATTGGATTATTGATATTAATTTCCACATTTCTACAAAATCTTCCCATTACCTCCAGATCCTTAGGCATTACCTGCACACTTTTCATGGGAGAATCCCTTCTGCTGTCCCCTACCCCCACCCCATAGTCCTTTTCCCAGCGACACCTACCCACTGCTGCTTTCACAGGCACCCCACAACTGTCAGGACTCACGCGCCTGTACCCTAGCTCGGTTTGTAAACCCCAGTGTCTCTCCTTTTCTGCACACCTCTGCTGTCATAGGATTCGAGTCATTTTAGTTTGATCTTCCTGGCTACCACGTACAAGCTTCCCACCACCAGAAACGGTAGAGAGATGAATGCCTCCTTCCCCTTTCTCCAAACTTCTTGCAGAGCATGCCTGAGGGCCATGCCCTCTGCAGATGACCTTCCTTACACTCGTGGTCATGGCACTTGGCTGGGCGCTGCAGCCTTTCATTACTGGACACCACGTAACTCATCGTCACCTCACTTCCAGCATTGCAGCAGAACAATGTCATGTTACTCTTACGCAGACACCTCGAGACCCTTCCTCCTTCGTCTCTAGTGTCCTGCAATTCTACGACAGGTGTCTTGGAGGTGACCTGTCTTTGTCACTGGGCCGGCAATGCGCTCCTTCACCCTGCACAGTCACCTTCCCCAGGAACAGGGCGTTTCCAAGAACTACTGTGTGCCTCGGTCCATGCCTTGGTTTTTTTCTCCAGTCATGCTGGGACGCTCATGCTGCCCATCTTGAATGGGTCCTTTAATTTTGTTTTAATCTTTTCTCTTTCTGGGACAATTCTTCAACTTTCCAACCAGAATCCTGAATTTTTTGTTTCTTTTACCCTGTTTTTAACTTCTATGAGTATTTTTTTTCTATCACTAAGGTTTCCTTCTTAAAGTTAGATCTTGTGACATAGAAATGTTCTCAAGAAAAAAAAAAACCTTTTCAAGGAATATAAGGGACAGCATCTCTACCCTGTGAGTACGCAGGTCTTACTGCTTTTTCCTCCTGCTTCTGGCTTTGTCCTCCCAGCTTACCTTCCTTTCCTGCCTTTCAGCCCTGGACTCTGAATCCCAAGACCCAGGCACCTTGGGGCCCAGCCCTGGCGTTGGACTGCTGATCCGGAGCCCCAGGAGTAGAAGTCCTCATCCCTGCCAGCTCGGGTGCCCCCGAGAAAGCTGTCTCCACTCTTGGCTCCCAGAGGGACCTGGCTCCCAGGGTTCCGGTGGTACTTGTACCCCTTTAAGGTGTCACCTTTAGGTGCGCTGCTGTCCCTCAGTCACTCACACAGCCCCTCCTGTCTTGTCCCACAATAAACTGTGGGCCTCTGCCACAAAGGGGAGTGTAGGGGGGCCCAGCTAGTGAATGACACTTCCAACCCACATGGCCGTTGGCCCCCGCCCACCTGCCGTGCAGAGCAATTGGGCGCTGGCAACTGCGGAGTTTTTTGCTTCTCAGCTTCCTCCTCCCTGGCTCAGGATTCGGCTCTCAAGCCTGCTCGGGCAGTTACCACTCATCCATCTGCTACCCAGCTTCCAAAACGTTGTTGCTGTTGTCTTCTCTCCCACTCTTTTTGTCCTTGTGGGTTTAGGTCTTTAAAAAAAAAAAAACCTCTCTACTGTTGTTTCAGTGAGGTTTTGGGAGGGAATGAAAGTAAATGTGCGTATGCAGTTCATCTTTATTTGGAACTGCTTTTTAAATTTACTAATTTTTATTACTACACGTTTGCAGTGCATAATATTCACATTGCTTGTGGAGACTTGGCACATGTACAAAACACACCCCAAATTCATTTCTCCTCCCCCTCCATCTCTTGATCCCCTTCCCATCTGAGAAGGATCTATCTTCCTTTCTAGTATCTGTCTTTTATTTTGCTCTTTTTATATTTTAGGTTTTTCATACAAAAGAAGCCATGCAGTATTTAAGCTCGTGTGTCTGACTTACTTTACTTAATATTATGGACTCAAGGTGTACCCATTTCCCTGCAAATGTCTCCAATTCATCTTCTTTGTAGCACTGTGTTGTACTCCACTGTGTTTATAATTAGACACCTTTCTTTGACCTGCACACATTGCCCATGCTCCTCCATGGTTGCTACAGTCTTCCCTAGTAACTGCACAACACCCATTCTCCGAGTGGGCCCCCTTCCTATGTTCTGGGTTTGCTACAGTCATGTGGGGTGCCTTCATCTGACCCCATGTCTAGAGAGAGCTTGCGGGCAGTCCTCCTCCCACCATTCTCATTTAGGGCCTCATTCTCTTGTCCCCTCATCTCTCTCTGTACAGCACTAATTTGCAAATTCGCGCCCATATCTGCAGTCATCCTGCACCGTGGGGCAGCACTCATCTGTCCAAAAAACCCTAGCACCTGCAGGTCATGTGGACTGCCTTTGGAGGTCCCCCAGTTTGATGCCCCCCTCCACACAGGTGATCCAGGGCCAGGCGCACAGGGGGTGCTCAGCAGAATGCCCAGAACGCTATGACATTAGGAGGACAAACACTAACCCCTCCATTGTTACCTTGCCCTCAGAGGTCAGTGTCCAGATCACAGAGAAGGTCAGCTTGTCAGTCATGGGATTGAGGCTGCACAGCTCCTCACACAGCAGCCTGGGAAGCATGGGGACCACCTGTGAACAGAGGACAGCTGTGAGCACCTTTCTCCAACTCCCAGGAGCTGTCCGAGCCTGGGAACAGCAGGAGGGCAGAGCTGGGGCTAGCCAGCTAGGCTTCCAGTGTGAGCTCAAGATGGGCAGATGTGTGAACCAAAGACTCAGGAGAGACTGCATCTCCCACCCTCACAGGGGCCTCAGGGTCAAGGGAATAAGAGGTGGCACAACAAGGAAGAGTTCACAACAGGAGGCAAGAAAGACTGAGGCTGGAGGACCCCCAATGGAGCCCGCCTTGGGCAACTTAGCATCTGCATCAAAATTTTTAAAGGGCCAAGGGGATGGGGATGTAACATAGGGTGAAGGCCCTGGGTTAATCCCCAGGGTCACCAAGAATTTGGAAGAAAGGAATAAAGAAAGAAAATAAATGAAAAGCAGCTATATTTTGCCACTACAGTTAGCCCTTTGGATTCTTGAGCTTTGCATCCATGGATTCAATTAACCTGGGATGGAAAATGTTACAGAAATAAAATAAACACCTGTACGAGCATGCAGAGGCTTTCTTTTCGTCATTACACCCTGAGCAAAACAGTACAACAATCTATAGCAGTTACACAGTGCTGGGGATCGCAGTGAATTTAAGAGATGGTTTAACCCGGCACCATCGTTATCAGAGGGACCAGAGATCTGCGGATTCCAGAACCAGTGCCCTGTGGAGATGTAGAGACGGCCGAGCTAACTCTGAAGCTCTGGGCTCCCAAATGGCTTGGGCTTTGACTATAAGGATGGGGGCTGAACTACATGTTTAAGAACCGGAAAGTAGAACATAAACCTTCAGAGTCTCATCAGAGGAGAACGAAGCCATTACTAGATTTTGTAACTGATCGTATCAGAGTTGACCAAATCATATGTGGAGACATTAACAGGACTACGCTCATGAGGCATGGCTACTGCAGTGAACTGGAAGAGTTCCTATGTCCAGGCCTCCTGCAGGAACGCTGGCCAGCTACTCATCTATTTTGCAATTTTTGAAACCAAAAGGATTTCTCCTCTCACCAATCTTTACATCTCATCATAAACACACAGAATTAATTAAAACATGTTTTCAACTTATTTTCTAATGATGACCAAAATACTTTCTTCACCACTCCAAAGGTACAATGAGTGTATCTGTTCCTTCTAAAGTATTTCCCTCTCCCCTTTCCTTCAAATCTGTTCCCTCTCCCAATTTTTTAAATTTTAAAGCAATGGTACATTTTAAAGCAATGGTCCAACCCACTTTGCTTTAGTGTATACGGTGGCCCCACCCACAGTGCAGTGCAGGGCCCGGGAATGAGGAACCAGGAAGGGAGGAGCAGACCAGTGCCATGCACTAAGGTAAAAGAACTGATTTCTTTAGTACCGAAACAGAACAAACCCCAGTGGTTTCTCATTCAGTGGGAAGTGTCTGTGCTTCTACTATGCCTCAGCACACAGTATCTTTGGTGTGGAGAAGCAAATTCTAGAACTCGCCCACATCAGTAAAAGCAATAACTGTTTAGCATTATTCTAAAGGATGCAGAATCTTTTAGCATCGACATTAAACCTAACAAGGACCTGAAAACTTTCACAAGACAGCACCCTCTGTAACATTTTCCTTGACCCTGATTCTGCACCATCAGTTTAGATGACAATAAATTTTCTTTCTTAATGCATCTAATGGTGCATCAAAATGTCATCTAAGTACTTAACATTTTCTGGTGTGCTAAGTGTTTTACAAAACAGTAAGTCTTCACCTGCATCAACACGCTATAAAATGGGGAAGTTTCAGTGTCATACGATTTTATGACTGACTTATAGAGCTTTCATATATTTCTGCCTCTGGACTGGGCCTGTACTGAATTTTAGCAGCCCCCACTCCCACCTTCATCTGTTGAAGCCTAACTGTTGGGAGACAGGATCCTTAGGTTAAGTGAAGTCATAGAGTGGAGCCTAATCCCATGGGTTGGTGACTTTGTAAGAGGAGCAAGTGGGAGAGAACACGCTGATCTCTGTGAGTGGGTACAAAAAAACAGCCGTGAGAGGGCAGAACCATGCCTGAGGCAGGAAAAGGGCCCTCACCAGGAACCACGCTGGCCGCCACCTTGACTGGGGCTTCAGGGCTCCAAAACTGTAAATGGGTGAATGTTTCTTGCTGACATGTTGCAGACTGCAGCATATTATGACAGGAGCCTAAGCTGCCTATGCCACACTACAGCAAGTTTGCTGGGGTGAAGTCCTGTGTTCTCCTCTGGGCTGCATGATGAGGCGATTGCTTACCCAGTGTGTGTGGCACAGTGACAGTAGTCCAGGGCTTATTCTGTCTGTTTCTTAAAAACAGATAGTAAATATTTCTTCTAAGTGTTCAAGGCGGTATCTTACTTTTAACTCATAAACCCTGAACATCTGATCATGTAACATAATTTCTGACATCATAGTTCAGTGTTTGTTTGAAAGTTACTGCAACTTGGACCTGGACTGAACCCTAAAACAGAAAAGAAAACACTAATGGGAAAATCAACCGTGATCCGGAAGTATGGAGCTGGGTTAGCAGCCACATTCCAGCGTGGGTTTCTCAGGTCTGAAAGGACAGCACAGTACTGCAGGGTTTTAATGATGGACCTTTGCGGGATGCGTAGACCTTACTGTTCCATCTCTAAAACTTCTCTCTGAATCGAAAAGAATTCCAGAATGAAAGAGCTTATAAAGAAAGGAAAACACAGCTTTTATTAATCTTGCATTACACATTTAAATATGATATAAACTTGTCCTAATTATGTTCATGAAATCTGATCTGTTTTTGTACCTTTGTGTTTGGGGTTAGGATTTTATTTGCAAAGAGAGCTTGGCCAAAACAAAAGAAAGTCTAAAGAGCAAGTGAGGAGCATGCAGTCTCACGGTGTAGGGGAAGAAGACAGGCTTAGCTGCCCAAGAGGGCCAGAGTCAAATCCTGGGCCCAGCACCTCCTGTGTTACTTGAGAAAGGCAGCTTGATTCCGGGTTGGGATTTCCTCAGCAGTGGAGCAGTATCAGAGGGTGCTCAGTGGAAGCCAGCTCCAGCTGTCTGAGCTCTCGTGTCTCCTTGCTCAGCCTTCTGTGCAGCCCCATGCCCGGCACAGTCTGTCTGCTGTGTGGGCCTCCATCTGCTCACTGCTGCAGCTCTTACAAGTTTTGAGCTGCTTTTTGAATGTTTGCATCTAGTAAACTTCTGTATATCCTCCTAGATGTGGCTCATGGCCCAGACTCCTCCAGCTGCAAATGTGAGCCCTATTGCTGTTCTTCAGGGGGTGAGGGGCACCTCCCAATAGCGGCTACTGCCCCTGATCTCTCCTTGCCTCCACAACAGCTTTACAGCATAGACCACACAAAGTCCCGGTCACTTCTCGAGATGCCTCTCTCCTGGTCCAGGCTGGGGAACCCTTGGGACCAAAGACACGGCCTCGTCTTGTCCCACCTGACACACAGCTGGCAGGCAGGGTCTACAGACTTGCCTAGGAAATGAGTGACCTGTATTTTCTATGTTTATTGCTTACTGCGTCACCTAAAACATTTTATGAAATACCTGCTAGACTTCTTAAACATCTTTACACAGAGAGCTCCGTAACTGAAGAGGGTAAACTGCTCTGGCTACTGCCCCTAAAGCCCCCGGCACACCCAGTGGCTGTCCAGGTTATCCAAACTGCTTCAATTCTCACGCTGCAAAGGTCCAATGCCAAAGAACCTAAGCACACATGAAGAAGCAAAACAGGGAAGCTTTTTGGACAGTGCAATTATATTAAATTTCTAAGAGACATTCTTTTTAATATACTTTTCAGCAGATCTTGAGGCCGAGATCAGATGGAATTCTGAGAAAACAGTCTTTATGTCCATACAGTTTTGTTAATAGGTGGTTAGGCCGCTTTCAAAGGAGAAGGGATTAAGAGGTTACAGCCACACTTGTGGTCTGGCATCTCACAGCCCCTCATAAATCGGCCCTGGACCTGCCAGGGTCACGCGGATGTGCTCTCCCAGAACCACCCCCCACCCCTGCGTGCTCAGTGGGCATCACTGTGGAGGGTTGGGGGGCAGGCGGCTGCCTCCCCTGATGCCGGGGAAGAGGCACCTGGACCCCAGGCAGCACAGTTGCCATGTGAGGCCGGCAGGTACCTGGGGGACTCTGCTCCAGGGAGTCATGTGCAGAGCAGAACCCTCGACTGCCAGCGGAGCTGTGCCCAGGCTCACTCCCCCCGCGGCCCTGCTCTCCTGCTTATCCTCCTCAGCCTTCCTGCACCGGCCTCCTCCCGCCCCCGACCCCTGCCTGCCCTGGTGACAGAACTAGCTCAGCAGCCCAGTGCTGCGTGCCTTTCGCCAGTCTGTGTTAGCTCCTTCCCCTGGCCTTCAGATTTGACTGGAAAATGTTACTGCCCTGCTGATCCCTCCCATCCCACCACCTTCTGCTCCTTCTCAGCAGAAAACTCACCTTTCCTCAGGAGAAAACCGTGTTCACTGGACTCAAGTCCTCCCAAGCTCCCTTCCAGCAGTTTCCTTCAAACTGTTCCTGCCATGTGTCCCTAACTGTCTCCACATTCTGGCTCACGGCTGTGGCTCTAGCTCACAGTGCAGCACTGTCCGTCTGTCTGGTGGCCTCTCGCTCTTCACAGCCAGCTCCCTGGTGGGCCGGTCTCCCCTGAGCACCGTACAGAAAGGTCAGAGTTTCTGGTTTTAAACCGGATGCTACTCACTGCCCCCCTCCTCACTGTCGCTGTGCTTCCTGCCTTCATCCTCGTCCTCTTTCAGTGTAACACTTTGGAATTGTGAAGATCACATACTAAAATTTTAGGTGATAACCAGATCAAAACATGAATGTGTGAACATCATGAGGCTCCAGCCTGTGGAATAAGCAAGGTTGCCATGCTGCTCTAGAGTCTCTTCTCCCATGCATGTGTGACTGTATACGGGTAAGAATTAAATATTACTGACACACACAGTTTTGTTTTTGGCAGCAGAGGGAGGTGGGTTTGAAAC